GTTGAGGTGTCACTTGCTTTGGCATCACACTTGGTTTGCCCGACTATGAGCGACAGCGAAATAGGAGGGGAACCGGCTATTAAGTGAAAGGACAAAAGAAAGAAGAAACCCCTCTATTTAAGCCCTTTATACAACCCGGACGATAGACATAATAATTATGGCATGAAACGAGCTCTGTCCAGGTCGTAGGTGCATCCTGTCTTTCGGGTTCCTATCATACTCTACCTTTGGCTGCCTAGAACTAGCTCAATATATAGCCATGTTGGGCACCTACCTGCTTATTGGCGAATGACATTGCAGTCTCATACTCGAGTAGGGCCACCAAACCTAAACACCCTCACAGTAGCTAAACCACTCCACAGTAACCAATGCCTAATGTCAGTACACCCGAAGAACCACACCTCAGCCTTATTAAAAGCGTGTGCCCACTATTGCTTAATAGTTCCTGGATTGCCATAACGGCATTCTCCACTGGCACTCTACCAGTATCTTATCGTAGGACTCCGGCAGCTGAGAGCACCTTCCATCTCGGCTCAGTACAGTAGAATCCTAGTCGAGCCCGGGTGTATTGCCGAGTTAGGTAGTTGCGGGTAGGCACCCTAGTGTCAACTACCGGTACATCAGCACAACAAACTTTTCAACCAATATGGGGAATGATATCGTGCACTAGACACGAGTGAGAGCGGGCACCTTTAGTTGGGGTAGATGGAAGGTTACTTGCAGTTAGGCCTATCTTCCACCAGAGGTAAAAAGGATGCCATTTCCCAGTCTCATCAGTTGCCATCTCACTCTCCCTAGATATCGATATATCGCCCTCGACCAACCACCCCCAAAATGAGGCTCACCCCCTTCCTCCTTCCCCTCCCCGGAGTCGTATCGTGGGGCCTTCTCGGCCATCAAACCGTCGCCCTAGTTGCCCAATCCTACCTTCTCCAGAAAACCGTGATCGAGGTGCAAAGCTTACTGGAAGATAGCTCGCTAACTTACATGGCAAACGTAGCGATCTGGGCAGACTCGTACCGAAACGAGCCCGGTGGAGGGTTCACTTTCGGCTACCACTTCGTGAATGGGCAGGATGGTCCCCCGCCAGATTCCTGCAAGATTGAGTATCCAAAGGATTGCCCACCTGAGGGGTGCATTGTCAGTGCTATTGCGAATTATGTGAGTGGGTCCTGATAAAGGCGAGGAGAGGGATAGGGCTGATAGTGATGGGTGTAGACGGAGAGACTGATGGACAAGAAACTGGAGAGGGAGAGCAGAGCTGAGGCATTGAGGTTTTTAATTCACGTGAGATCAATTAAGGCCCTATATATGGGTATCAAGGCTAATCGCTATATAGTTCATCGGTGATATCACCCAACCATGTAATCTATCCCTTGCCCCTATCGTACATACCCCAATGTCACAACGGCTAACAAAAAAAGTGCACACAGAAGCCTTCGGTGCTGGCGCGAACAGTATCTTGGTGTACTTCGCCGGAAAGCCGACAAATCTCCATGCAGCCTGGGATACGTCCATCCCCAACAAAATCATCAATACTACATCTCCCACAACCCTCGAATCCCTCGGTTGGGCAAATGCCATTTCCTCACTAATAAACGTAGGCCCCTACAAGCGACAGCTAGGCAGTTGGGTGTGCAGCCTGGATACGGAGGGGGATAGCCCGGAGAAGTGTGCTGCTGACTGGGCTGTGGACTCCAACGAGCTTGTTTGCGAGTATGCTATTGATGTTTCCCCTGAGGAGCTTAATGGGACTGAGATTTCCGGGGAGTATTACGATGGGGCAGTACCCATTGTTGTTGAGCAGATCGCTAAAGGGGGGGTTAGGTTGGCGGGTTGGTTGAACTTGATATTTGAAGGCAAGACGGGGTTTTAATTGGGGATAATGGAGGATGTAAAATAACCCACAGCCCACTATGGAACGCTGTACTATATAGGATGAGTAACGCAATGAGGAGTTATAGAAAACTGTCGGAGATCATATAGGGTGGGAATTGCAATGTCTTCTGCATGATAATTATGATATTATAACCCCGCTTCTACCGGATTATACTCATCGCAAAAAGCCTCTACCAAATTGAAGAAATTCCCAAATACCCATCGAACACAACACCTATCCGCCCACCTCACCAACCTACCTCCCCCTCCTCCCATTTTCCAACCTCTCCACCCCACCACTACCCTTCAACCGGGCACTCAACTCAAACCAACCCGCACACACCTCCTATCACAGCGAGAAGACGGGCTTCGACGTTGTCGGACGTCAATGTATAAATTATCATTACCCTTGTAGAACACTACATATCCCCATCAGCGCACCGAAGTTTCCTCTGGTCTAGATTTCGCCTACGTATGCAGGAGGGAAGAAGGAAGACAACCGAACTCTGCCAAACTCAATCCAAATCGTTGGAGAATGGAACTTATGCTAATAGCATAATATAGAAATGATTACGGTTCAAGACGGTAACATCCAAAACGTGAGCTGCAGACGTCATTTTCAAACCCTGGAGGCTCTAGATCCGCCTTCACAAGAACCACTGCTGACCATCTCCACTTTGGAAGATCAGAGCAGGAACCAACAATGCTGTGGTAGTGGTAACATATTCCCATGGAACAGGATGAATGGTTCGGCATGTGCTGGAAATATGTCAAAGAAGACGTCAAGGGGTCATGGATAAAAAGGGTCCCGTTTTCTCTTTGTTAATGGCTTTCAGCTCATTGCCGGTCTTCCTATTTCTCCACTCCATCGCCCGTTTTCTATCCATTAATTGTGTTATCATACGGCTGGAGCAAGAGTGCCATAATCCCCCATCACTTGAAGGCACCCTACAGGAGTGCTCATCAGCTTAGTGTTATTTTATGGCTTAATACAACTTTGCGCCTCAATACCTTTTTATTATCATTAAATTCCTTGATTGTTTAAGGAAAATACTGCTATGTGCAACCACTAGGCTATAACATAAAAGTGTAAAAGGATGTATTTTAATCCTATTCAATTTCCTCTCACCTACGAGTTTACAACTCCCGTGGCCTGTTATATTTTAGATTTTGGTAATCACAGCCTTTGATTCTCTTCTATAATAAATAGCTTTAAGCCAAGTTGGAAGGAATTTATTCTTTCCATCTACTTTTCAAATTTTTTCATCCTCTCCTACATACCCCCTTCTCGCTGATAGCATGATTAAGTAGGATTTCTCTTTGTTTGGCTGGTAGGGTCTTTGAAGCCTTGTCCATACTTTTAAGACCAATATACTATGAGGCCTCTGCAATGTAAAAGGAGTTTTCTTGTCTTCAAAGCCATATTTCTGAGTCTATAATTGCAACAGAACTAATAAATACTATGATTTATTGTACTCTTGTAATCAGCATTGGCAGTCTGAGAAACACAGTGCTTGTATGTTTCAAGAATAAAATATTCTTTATAATATTATGAGGCAACATGTATACTACTGGTAGCAAAGATAATATTTCTCACTCCAAAACTAGAAGCTCCCATTATTTTGAGGAAGGCCTAAAGCAGATCCTAGTACTAGGACATATATGTTAGGACTCCTGAGTTTTTTTGAACTCAAACTTAAATAGGCCAACAAAGGCACTACCGTAGAGTATCATAATTATGATAGTAAGCATTAGTTATATCAATTTGAACCCTGAACTTGAATTTCTCTTCATAGAAAAACTGTATGGAAGGTAGCTATTAGGTCACCAAATATATACTATAGTTTTTTATTAATTTCATTATGCCATCTGATAAATACAAAACCCACACAAGCACCTACCTTAGTCATGTCCCCAGCCTCTAGACGCCGCTATGAGCAGAGGTATCAACTCGCCTGTAATAGAGTGGATTGGCAATCCAGGTTTCATGGCTACTGGGAATTTTAGTCCTCCCGCTCTCCCTGCCTGGGGAAACAACACGTATGATACTCCCTTGTCTGTGATTCTGGCCGGATTCAACCCTATTACATCAGCCCTGACCGTCAGCCCGATTTTCTTGGCTTCCTCCCCGACAGTCCTGAGCGTTCAAGAGCTGGGTATCGGGGTCAACAATACCAGTCCTTCTACCCCGGGGTATGATATTATAATAATTACTCTCCCACTGCTTCTACCGATGCCAGGGTCTCCGCATTGAATAGGATATGAAATTCATACCCCGCCCCCACGAAAATCAGCGAACCCCCTAAGATCGCCAACAGAAATACTCGCAAGGGGATAGACAGTGGTTACAACATGGAGGTGGTTGACAATAGTGAGCCATCGACATTTAGGTATGATACACCCGGGACAACGGTCCCGAGAGTACTGGTAACTTCGGGAATCTCATTTGTGCCACTTGAAAGAGCGATGAGCCCGCCATGTCCGCGGCTAGTCGCATTGACACCACCCCTTTTAGATGGAGAATCACTTTCAACGTTCCCACCGGTAATGACCACAGCCCGGCTAGGGCTTACAATAGTACCTTCTATAAAAACCCTAGAAGCTCAAATTCCCATACAAATGTTCCTTCCCGTACACAAGTGAGTGGACAAAGCTCCACCTTCAACCCAATCTCTGTTGAAGGTGAAAATTACGCAAGCATGTCTCCACTTGGCTCGCATACCTACACCATGGCCACCCACCCTGCCGGTAGTCCAAGAACGGTACCAGACAAAAACTCCGGGAATACTAGCAATATGGAAGCAAACACAGGAGACGGGACAACCGAAACTCCCGTATCTAGCTTTAATCCTCTCGACCCGGGCTCACCCAACCCTACCGTCGGCGGCTCCCCAAGTATCAAATTCAAAGCCTACAAATGCTGTACCTGCAACACCTCGCATTACGAGCCCTTCACCAGCGACCAGGACACCTGTTACAATTGCAATCACGCTGTCTGCCGTGCCTGCTACAACTTCTGGGAATGCTGCAACTGCAACACTCTGGGTCGATTTTCGAACCACACCTGTGATGAGTGTGGGCATGAAAAGTGCCCCCGAAAATGCCTTTTTCAAATCATCACGAAGGATGCCTGGCTGAGAGTGGAGGCTTTGAGAGCTACGGAGAAGAGGGGCACGACAGAGCAGCAGAGGGGCGAGAAGATGCATAAGTTGGGAAGATTCGGGGATTCGGGGAAAATCATTGCGGGAGGGAGATGTGGAGCCAACAGTCCGGCCAATGCCAATTTCAAGCCTGGGACGGTAGCTGAGAAGGAGGAAGCACTCAAGTCGCTTGTAAGTCTTAGGGAGAAGGTTAAGGCCTCATCTAAAAGTCATGTCGCTAGCGAGTCACTCTTGCCTTCGGCTCCCTCGTATCACAAGTGCCAGTGGCAGGTTTCCCCGGTGGACATATACGGATCCCTAGGTATCAGCACAGCGAGGATGAACAGTGAACCTGGTGAAGATGGGATGAACTGCGGAACCCCCAGGAAGGAGCATGAAAATTCTAATGCATCCATGGTTCAGGTAAATTCCTCACTCTTTGCTACTCCATATTTATGATCGTGCTCTTGCTGACACCTCCTAGTCTCCCCAGGGCTCTAACGACTCTTCAAATACTTCTTGCACCACCTCTCCATCAACCCTTGCCGAGAGTCCTGGGACTCCCCCAGAATCGCCTACCAGCAATCGCAGTCATCCACCCCCAAAAATCATACCCACCGGGTGCTCGGTCCCTGGACGGGAAACTGAGAGTATCCCGATCCTTCAGGGAACAGAATGTTGCGGAGATCCCAAAGCGCCGAGCTCGTCCGCTCTCTAGAAGTTTTGTCGGAGGCATTCTCACTTACTCTTTTTAAACCCGCCACTGGCTGGAGCTAACACCACCACAGGTATCAAACGCTCCCGTTTTACGAACCACGTGATAAGGGCTATTGGATTGCACTGGATCGGTTAGACAATATTTGGTCGGCGTTATTTGTGCTTTCTCGGTCTCTTATTGTTTTATTTTATGGCTAAAAATCTATCAACCAACAGGTTCCATTCACACGACAGAGCTCCCCTTGAATTTTGCAGGTGTGACGGTGCCATAGAGCGGGAATTATCACCGCTGCTTCGTGCTTTTAATACCGGGACTGGGGACTTCTCCACCATCTCCCTTAGCCGAATAACCTAGCTGCAAAGGAGAGGAGCTGCAGAGAAAGAGAGAAAGATGGCCTAAAAACTTTAGGGGGTTGTATCATAGAGATTCAATTGAAACCGTTCTTATGCCATTACCACTTGGTCCCTCTTCGTAACATCTTAGTGAAAGATTTGAGCTGGCATTAAACCCCACGGGAGTCGACAGCTGGAAGGACGGTTTCTCACGCGCCAAATTCTTCGTTCAGGTATTTGTCTCGTTTCCTATCGAAGGGGAAAAAAGGGGGGGAGAATAGAAGGTCAAATTGCTGAAGAAAGTACCCATCGCTCTTAATGATAGGCTAGTATCGCACGGCGGTATTTCCCCACCACCCCACTACCCCATCCTGTGTTCCTATCATACATATTTATCAGTTTGGGCTGTGGGAGGGTGTCTTACTTTAGAGCAGCCGAATGTGAAGCCTATTTTTTGGAACTTCCAGCATCTGCTCTTCGCACGGTGCTATTTGGAGGTCTGGTCTCGAGGGTAAGCACAAAATGTTCTCGATTTTCTTGCTCCTTCGGCAGCCATCGCCAAGAGGTGTTCGGGGCTACCTTATGATCCCTGAGCTTGCATTGATGAGGATTTTGGCGAAAGGTCGTTATGTATAGAGTATAGACACCCCAGGTGGTGATCCTCCTAAAAAAAACAACGAAAAAAACATGCACATAAACTCCAATTGAGTTCTCTGTCATATGAAAAAATCCATAACTTGCCTAATGATTTTTGTTCATGAGAAAAGAAAGTTAGCACCATTGAAGCAATCCAATTTACCAATAGAGGGTTGTCCGTGTGGAGAGTTGTAAGTTATTCCCAATCCCATCGCCCTCCCGGCTGCGGCCGTCCCACTCCCATCCCGGCCCCACTATTTTTTCCCCTCAGTACACAGATAGGGCGGGGCGGGCCTTTTCTAGGTGAATATGCACCCATATGAAGAACAAAGTACATATCTAAGACCGCATTGTTACCGAGCAACTATCTACACGGGAGAAGGGAGGAAACAGCGAACCACATACGCAGCCACTAGACGCGCTATCGGGCAAACACAGTGTCAGTACAAGGAGCGGTATCAGGGGGAGCGTAAGTGGCGGGAGATTTCTGCTGTTGAAGGTATCAAATGTCCGGAAGGTAGGGAAGAGAGAAGGCAAAGTTGATCATCTCACCCCAGGTGCCGCATAGAAGTGCAAACCAAGTACGACACTGTGCTATACACCGGCATCTTGTTTGCGATCTTCCTTGGGCGCAGAATTTGGCCCTATATTTCGATGGCTGGAAAACACGAGCTTCTTTCAGCGATAACCTTATTAGGTCCGTGTACCACCGCGGTACAATATCGAAGAGCAAACCCACTTTTTGGTTTTCCCGACTCTCTTCCGATAATACACCCCCCCCTCATCCGTACCAGCACCTCCTTAGCCATTTCGGGTTTTCAATCTTCATCTACCTTTTTTTTTTTTTCCATTTACCGACCAAGCACAAACCCACTATCAACCAATCGACTTCTTGGATCCCAAGGTTAGGGGCCTCATGGTGAGGAAAACACCCAAAGATCTTTGATCTCCGCTATAAAGATCTAAGATTCTAGATCGCCGAAAAAGACTTTTAAAAGGCTTGGGCCCAAGGGGACATCACTTCTGATCTTCGCGGTGACTATATAGACCCCTTTCCGACAGTAGCCCCAATTCTAAGCACTCTTTTATTCCCAGGACCATTTTCCAGGCCGAAGTAGATGCCGAAATAGGCGATAGCTTTTCTTAGATGTCAGAAGGGTTCGATCTAGTGATCTGATAGCTGATCTAGTCGGTTCTCCTCGTCCACTGTCCCAGTCCCCCCCAGGCCGGATAACAAGGCACAGAAGGCCCGGCAGGATGGAAAAGTGAAAGAAAAAAAGAGAGGAAGCTAAATCAGGAGATATTCCTGACTTGGCCAAAAATTTAAAAAAAAAAAAAAGCCTACGGCCAGATCGAGACATTTCTAGGAGCTTGATCTTATCAGGGTTATGGTCTCAAACCAGCTGCAAAGGGCAAATTGTCTCCAACTGCCTCGAGGTCTCGATAAAAAAGCTGAAACAATTATAGTAGCAAGAGTTCTTCCTACGGATCGCTCTACTTTCCCAACAACCAGAAATCTGAGCACCCCCCAATGAAGATATAAATTGGCTAAGAATCCACCCTAGGTCCCGAGAATTCACTGTTGCATTCCCCCTTCCTCCCGATTCTTCCTCAACCTTTCCCCTCCCCAATCCTTATACCCATTACCGAGAAATTGCCACCAAGTTCTACCCTTCATAGGGGCTACCACTCATCCAGCTGTAGAGCACCTGAATATCACTGCATTGGAGCCCCCGCAGCAGAAAAGCGTTGAACAGGGGACGGTACGAAAAATATACCGATATCTGGCTTGTCCAAAGCATTAGGGTCCCAGGAATCTCTTTACAATCAATCCCAAAATTAATACAAGTGGGATTAAGTTTAAAGCACTCGGACAGTATTTTCAGGCACCAGCAACTCAGGGGCCGTCCAGCCTCAAATACAGTAAGATCACAATGCACCTCTCCCAACAAATTTACGAAAACCACTATCCTGGTAGGTATCATATCATACGCCGAAGCTCACAACATTCGATCCCCCTCCTGGCCATAGATTAAAAGTGGAAGAAATCTCAGCTTTTTCTTCCGACCGTCCTTCAATTATCCATAGGCCATGTAAAGATCCTCGCCAAAAGTTCTAGTCTAGAGCAGTCGAGCTGTCGCAGCTTGAAACCCTCTAATTTTAGCGTACCTTATCAGACCTGCCCACCATCCCCTTCGGCGTTCCTCGATCGAGTGATTATTCGTGATCTATATGTCCTGCTTCCCAGCGGATGGAGTTAGGGCTGCAACCGCCAATGATAAAAACCCGCCCGCCCCTAGGAGCTTTCCTCCCATTCGGTATCATAGCCCACTAACCAAACCTCAATGGCACCGGCCGCAATGGTACAAACTAGCCGTCAAGCTCAAGCCTTGTTGACGCTAGGCTCAATGGTGAGGTCCAAATCTTTCCCCCAAAGCTACTAATAGTTCAAGAGCGAATGGCCAATTGGCTCCAGGCATATCAAGTACGGCTAATTCTCAATGGCCCGCTGAGCTGCTTTTGGCGGGAGCCCAATGGCTGGCAGCACGCATTGCGATGGACTGGCTGGATGAAATTTTAGGCACTACAGATATAAAGGAGCTCTTTCTTCTCCTTCCACAGGCATTCCACCCATCGAAATCCTCCTCCCTTCACTGCTACCACTACATCTTGAAGCCGCAGCTCGAAAAATTTCTCACGGATACGCTCTTCCCTCATCAAATCACCTCATATCGCAGGAATACCCTCGTGTTTCACCGGGATACTACAATTCTCCTTTACATTCCCAGGTATTTCGCTCACCGCCCATCCTTTACCCACCCTACCCAAGATACTAGCCTCCCTCCCCTCACGGGCACCCACAGGAGCTGGAAAAAAAATGGGCAACTTCCTGACCAAAATCCTCACCCGTCCCGACATCCACCCCAACGTCATCGCATACTACAAAGCCCGACTAGTCGACATGGGGGAAACACTCACAATGCATCAAGTCAGATTCTTACAGCGTGCCGAAGCAACCGAAGAACTGGTTGCCGCGCTGGAAGATCAGGTCGCAGAGGACGTCCAATTTAGGGAGACGATTCTGAAAATGCTTATAAGTGCTAGGTCACTGAAGAAGCGGGTTCAAAGGTTGGAGGCAGCCATCCAGAAGGCGAGGGAAGAAAAAGCGAAAAGGAGGTCTGCGAACAGGTTGGTGGTTAAATTCCGAGCTGCGTTGGATGCAGCTAGGGGTGGGGGGAAGGATTGTAAGGAGTACTACGTGAGGACTGTAGCGGCGAGAGGGTGCCCAGGGAGAGCGGCAAGGGGTTCGAAGGGGGCCATGGCGAGTTGGAAGAGGGAAAATTTTGAATTTAGTGATGTTTGAAGTGGGGGAGGTCGGAAGTTTGAGAGCGGTTATCACGTAGTGCTAGGGTATTTTTTATATTAATAGCTACAACCCATCTTTTATCATACAAGACATACGCAATAGCGCACTCCCGTGAACTGAAATGCCCTAGGTATAGGGAGAAACCTGAGGATCCAGTCACACTAAGGTTTCTCCAAGGATCCTGGCGGAAGCGAACGTCCGTGGAAGAAATTACCGGGCTATCACTAGCAATTCACCCACCTAGAAACTATAGCCCCCCCCCCCCCCCGAGTCGGACGTCTTGTGAATCGGTCATGCGGAACGCCCCCGGTCAGCCCTAGACTTCAACAAAGAGTGGAAGGCACATCCTCCAACCCCAGAGGAAGAAGCTCACCTAAATAAAGGGCCACAAGTTAGAGAGGGGTGAGAAGCTAGGTGGGGAGTTATCTCTGTATCTAGAGCGCACCAAAGCTCCCAAGGAAAGCGCTAGCAAGCCCCCTTCTATAGCAGCTACGATACCGCCGTCGGTGGATCGTGGGGGAGCTAAAACCACCACTTCTCGAGAAGTAGACGTAAAGAAGCATACCTTCAAGAGAAATCCAGTCCCCCTCGTTAAAATAGCAGTAATTGGAATTTAGTGCGCATAACAGGAGCACCCTGTAAAGAGTAAATAATCCATTGCCTTAGGCCAAAGTCTCCCTAAGAGCCCACTCCTATCACACTTCCGTCCCCCTACCAGGACATGTATTCAATCACAAAACCACAGTGATCTAAAGGCACCATTGCTGAAAGCTTTTGATCGGAGGTATCCGGTATCTCCACTTTCTGGCAATACTCTCGTATCTGTAGCGCTCGCAACAGGAAAGTTGACAGACCTATGGGTATCGAAAAAGCCGATGAGAATCTGTATCCCACCCGGTCCTAATGTGGGTTTTTCCCCGGGGGTTTCATTGAAGAGCGGGAGAGGCAATATGTTCCTCTAATGTCAAATGCAGGGGCTCTCCAGGGCTCTCAAGGAAAACCTCCAGAGTTCTGGCTACTACAGCATGCAGGGCGTCCCTCCTAGCTGATATCGTAACCCCGATTGCTCTTTGACGTTTGCGAGCGGGGTGTTGATAAGGGGATGATTTCTTTCTTATCACATGGCAGCGAGGTAGTATGATAAAAGGATGTCATCCGGATCATTTCATGCGGGAAAGCACACGAGCAACCTGCAGGACTCGACCCCTTAATTCAGCCCCAACTAACAAGGTGCCTGAGCGGAAAAGAGAAGTAGAAAAGAAAGGGTAAGAAGTTTAAAATTCAAATCGCTCCTCCACAAAACTCCCAAAAGAGTGCTTCCTGCCCGAGCTACTATCCATCTATCCTCCTGGAAAGGAACTGTTGCCATTCCAGAAAAACCCCAACTGCTATCAACTATTATACGATACGGAGAAATAGCTGCCTCGGGCGTTACTTTTTTTAGATTATCGTAGGGAGCTACTGAAGATACTTGGTAGAACTTTCTCCCTTCCTCGAGACACGCAAACTAGCAGTGGGTATCTCCCCCACAATTTCGGTATCATCGAAAAATGAACGAATAAATAGTCGCCGTCAAAAACTGTTTTTCCCGTCCCTATCAGTGGAATAGTATATTTGGACATGTAGCAATTAAAGCATATTTAAGTACCCTTTTAGTTATTCCGCTCCCCCCATACCCGCACCCCCTCCCAACTCCGCGTACAGTACCGCCAAGGTGGTATGAGCCCGATATCCAGGAATCAATCAACCCGAGGAAAGCGCGAGCGGTGAGATGCGGGTAATTTCCAGTTGCCCCCTTTCTAGGAGATTGGGTAGGTAACCGAATCTTGTCACCCCCCAGAGCTGTACTGTACAAAACCCGAAATCAGGCTCCTATTATAACATAAACCCATCTCTCATAACCATTTAACCGACCGAAATTGTTGTAAGAAATCAACTAGGCCACTCCATCGTAAAGGGAGCTAGAGGTGAAGTCTGAGGAGAAGCATATCAGAACTACGAGTGAAAAAAAATAATACCCCTTTTTGCACAAAACACTCCCTCATCCCTCGCTGGGTTTCCAGATACGGTGCTTCGCCAGACAGCGAGCACCCAACACATCGAGAGCCGGCACACAAAATCCTTCGAAAGGAGGTTCAAAACTGAGCAGTTGGTGAAAGACAAGTTCATAGATCAGTGTCAAGTATTTATTATATCCGCTGCCACCCCGGAACGCTTGCCCCGTATCGCAGTGAAACATCGCGGACATGGGACATCACTCGAATACAAATAGGGTTGGAAACGGTAAGTTGAGTTTACGGGAAGGCATCGTGCCATTTCAATACTCTACGTATTCTAACTTACGTTAATTTAACGCCCGGACAACTTACCACGCACCATGAGTCGGCAGTCATGAAAAAAAAAAAAAAAGCCCGGCTGTTCGCATCCCACACATCTTTCCTAAGAATTCCCGACGTGAGCGTGGAGGAAGGGAAACGGGACTACGGTACTCGGTATATGGTTTTTTAATATGGGAGATGCCGTTTTCCGGTATGATATTTTATACTATACTCGAGTATCCCTAGTGCAATTTACCTTAATTCACGGTACGCTAACCGCATTATTTGAACATTAAATACCGTATCACACAAAGATTATACCACACGGACGCTAGCCAGGTTAATTATCCAGCGGCACAAACGGATATTATCCACTAGCGTCGACTTCCGGGGGGTAACCAGGAAGTTCATAAGTGTGCCGAATTTCCCCTACAACACGCTAGAACTTATATAATAAACCATGATATAATATTATTGTAACCGATTCCGGAATATATCTGGGAAGGGCGATCGAGCGGTTCCAACATGGGAGCTCGGAATTTCATTTTTCTTATTTAGAACCCCCCGCCCTCTGTAGGCACGGGCATTACATGAGCGCACGCACCGTGGTATGATACTGCGCACACCTTAAACACTTTGCGCCCTATACTAGTATGATATCATGTCCCGGACAGTTCTTCATGTGCCTGGGAAGGGTTTGGGCAGGAAACAATAAAAGTGTCCGCCATTCGCTTTATTCTAAACTAGCCAATTAAGATTCATTCATCATTCAGTAGGCCGGCCAAAAATGCATGCCACCTTAAAAACAGTCATTATTACAGATGGTTTTTCATGCTGCTATAGGACCCAACACCATACACCTGGGAGCTCACCCTAGTCCCAGTTCTAGGAACACACCCCCTTCTTCTCCCTCCACCTCCCCCCCCGCATGCCTCTCCCACCCCTTCCTCCACCGCCTCTGCCCCCACCACCTCTTCCTCCACGCGGATAACCCCCACCTCCATTAGCCACAAAACTCCTGTACCTCTCCTCTTTCCCTTCACTCCCTGGTGCAAATCTAGTCCCATCATCGATCCCCAGCAATTCACAAAACGCCGTTGTCTGAGGATTAACGTAGCTCTCCGGCAAGCGGTCCTCCTGAGCAGTCGGGCTACCCTCATGAATAGGCGCAGTAATGTGAAAGTTCTCGGGGATACCCAACTTTCCCTTTGCGACAACATTTTCTTCTACCCACCTCCGCTCCCCGGCAATCATCGGGCCGATAGATTCCCTAAAGGCTTCGGAGTTGAGGGCTGAGGGATGTTTGTGGAGGTAGGGGTTTAAAGCGCGGGTTATTGCTAGCCATTCCGGATCATAGGAGAGGCCGGGCCAGGATTTTGTGATGGGGATGGTGAGAAGTTGGAGGAACTCGCGGTGGGGGAGACACTTGTCTAGGGCCAAGAATTTGGTAACTTTATTCTTGTCTGCCAGGCCGACCACCGGTCCGACCGGAGGGGCCAAGCCGGCCCGAGCATCCTCGGATTCTGCAGCCAAAGCAGGCTCCCCAGCTTTAGCGACCTCAAGAACCATGTTTCCCAGGGGAACACCAGCGGTCTCTGAAGAGTGTTGGTCAAGATCTAGTTCGATTTCATCCTCACCCTTCAGAGCTGCCGCCCCGGGTTCCTCATCAGGGTCCAATTCAATCTCGTCCTGATTTACTACCTTCGTTTCCGCGGTCCCCTCTAAATCCATATCCAAATCCAATTCATCAGGGTTCTTCTCCACGGGACTAACTGCCCTCTCTTTCCCCTTTCCTTGAATTAACACCATCTCCCCTTCCTCCCCCTCCTCCTGGGACTTTCCATGATCCACTAGCGCCGCAAACTTGACGTGGAGATGGGCAGAAAACCAATACCTTGGTTTCAATTTATTCAGTAGACTCCTTGCAGGCGGGCTGCCCAGCTCTCCCTTCTCAATATCACTCTTGAAAAAGCTCTTCTTCCTGAGAAGTTCATTCAGATCGCCATGGTGCTCAATTCCACTGGGCCAATCATGGCTAATCATAACATCTACGGGTCCCTCTATCTGATAAAGCTTGAAAACGTCGTACTGCCGAACATGATAGACGCTTTTTATCTCGCCGGGGAAATATGGTAACCGCTCGTCATGTGGATGGTCGTAATGCCGCTCATTGTAAATCCCACTAAGGCCACCAATCCTCAGTCCCCGGAAGTTCAGGACGGAAGCAGCTCCCATGTAGTAGATATTTGGGGCAACCCAACCACCGTAAAACAATTCCCAGAGGTGAGAACTGGCTTCATGGTTCCCGCCAACGAATATAGTAAGCATGGGAGCCTTGCGGGCGCCCGAATAGTACTCGTGGAAATCCCCCAGAGCGCGGTATTTTGGCGGACAAGACATGACATTGAGATCCCGTAGATTCCGGACGGCCTGGAAGTCCCCGCCGATGATGAGGAGGTCTACGGGTGGGTATCTGTTGATCTTGCAGGCACGTTTTATCGAATCGTAGATGGCATTGAGGGTCCCATGGCCCTACGATCGTTAGACAAAGGACGAGAAGGGGGGAGCGGCATGGCAATGCTCACGCAGCCCTCAACGGCAATTCTAATCGCCGACATGGCACCCCAGTGAGTCGCCGAACAACAACTGCCAAGACGGTTACGGCTACGGCTGCGGGATGGTCGATGATGAAGGATGATAGGAACGAACAGTGGGAAGGTTGAGAAGGCTGAGGAGGTGGTGAAGCAGGGCAGGGATAGGGATGGAAAACAAGGTCTTTGTGCAAGCCCGCCAGACCCCAAAGGCATCGCGAAATCTACGCGCCAAGCCACGGAGGACAACACCCAAATCCGCGGGTCTCGACACACAATTTTCAAGATGAGTTTAGAATCTCCTGAAATGCCCTGCCTCATCGGCTCCCCGAAAAGGATTAGCTCCTTCCTAATATAGCAAATGATCCGCCGGCTCGGTGTGCTGGATCTCGCCAACCGGTATTCGCAATTGTGTCAACCTGCCAAACTAAACCTATAGTGGCAAGGCGGGCAGCCGGGGATACCGGCAGTGGATTTCACGAGATTTTAGGGCATCATGTCTTTGGAATGGGCGAGCGGGAAAAAAGGTTTGAGCCTCACCTTGGCAAGGGGAACGCCCGAATTATGATGGAATAACATTCCCCCATACCGGCACCTCGCAGCTCGGGCGGCTGAGGAGCGACATCTGTGTTACGCTTGGGCCGATCCCTCAGAAACATTATACAAGATTTTAATTAAGGAGTAGACTCACTGAAAACCGCCCATACACTCAGCCCAAAAGACTCAACCCAGCCGTGGAGATCGTAGGATCCTTTGCCATCCCCCCTTGCCAATCCCACCGCTCCACCCCCTGCTGGATCGATCCAGGGCGGTGCAAACAGGCTTACCTCTCGTGATCACCACTGTTCAGCACTTCCTCCCACAATCTCTCGGCCAGCCAGCCAGGCCCACTCGGACCAATCACCCCGGACAGAAGAGATCGATCCATCTACACAGAGCACCAATAGGCCTGAGCTTCATCGACGAAATGGAGCATACAATCGATTTAACCGACCCTCGTTCGGCCTTGGACCTCTCAAACATCCGTTACCAGTTAATGTTCTCTCCCCCCCCCCCTGTTTCTCTAGACACGCTCGCTTCCGAATCCCACTAATGCATACCCCAGTCGCCTGGAGGACACTATCATTTTCCACCTGATCGAGCGAGTTCAGTTCCCTCTGAATCCGACAATCTACTCGACCAATGCCATCACCATTCCAAACTTCTGCGGCTCCTTCCTGGATTACCTCCTCATGCAGCAGGAGAGGATCCACGCTCTGGTCCGTAGATACCAAGCGCCAGACGAGTATGCATTCTTCCCCGAGCTGCTCCCGTCACCCATTCTAGCGCCCCTGAAATACCCTCAATTGCTGCATCCTAACACTGTCAACTTCAACGATAAGCTGAAGACTGCCTACATCAAACACATCCTGCCCGCAGCCTGTAAACCACAGGTGGCAGATCGTGGGGAGCGGTACGAGAATTATGGCAGCACAGCCGTCAACGATGTTGCTTGCTTGCAGGCGCTCAGTCGGAGAATCCACTTTGGGAAGTTTGTCGCCGAAGCAAAGTTTCTGGCCGAGAAGGAGAAATTCACCGACTTGATACAGCGGAGGGACACCAAGGGCATCATGAGGGAGATTACGAACGAGGCCGTTGAGAAACAGGTACTTTGCAGGCTGGAATTAAAGGCCAGGACTTACGGCACCGATCCCGGGGATAATTCCAAGGATCCCAAGGTCAAAGTCAACGTCGACGCTGTAGTTGCAATGTATAGAGTCCGTGATCCTCTCCTTGTCCGATTCAAAGTATACATTGCTAACCTTTTCACAGGATTACGTCATCCCGATGACTAAAGAGGTGGAGGTAGAATACCTTCTCCAACGGCTTATTAACCCCGCGCCCGAGGCCGTCACGGAGAATAGGCACTGGCTCCTTTCGGCCGCAGAGGCGTTTTTTTCCTTTATCTCTTAGAGATTCAGACTACCTTTCTTCGGGACGTAAGATTCAGGGGTGGAGATGCGGTCTCTTTTTCTCTTCTAAATACAATATAAGATATGGGATCACTTTCGTACCGTTCCCGCATTGAAGAAATTACTCACAGGACTATAATGAAGGAAATGTTCCGGATCCATCATAAGTAATCACTCGGGAAGCCGCTTGACCTCCCGTATCATACGGGTAATTTACCAGCAGCTGCCTGGTGCTATGAAAGCCACCCACGCACATTGCTCTTCTATATGTTCGGATATTATGATATCACTTTATGGTACTACCACCCCACACATCAACCGGCCTGCGCACCTCGGTGAAGACAGTATAGTCAAATCATCAAGTAATAATTGCTGTTTTTCCTCTAGAAAAATAAAATCAATTCCTCAGAAACTAACATCCAATCCCCGAGCCAGCGCACAGGTACAGTACAAAAACAAAAACAATCTATAGGCGACCTTCGCACGATCACAGATCCCGACAACAGCCCTAGAACAGAGGTACTAAAGAAATCGGAAGAAAAAAGAAAAAAATCGAAAGAGGAAGCATCCTTCTAACAAGCGGTGAAACCGCCCTCCTTAGCATCACAAACCTTAGGCGCAATGACCCAAGGGCCAGAATCGGCAGATCCCCAATCGAAGGTGCTCAAAGTGTCCCCGTCGGTGCTTCCGGGTGCAGCGTTAATCATGTCAGATCTAGTGGGGAGGTACCTGGAGAACAGTTCAGCATGTAACCGGATAATGATAGCAAACGGGAGGGAATCATACCACCAATCCCGCCCAGACCTGAACTCCCTACCACAGCCCTGAGAAGCCTCATCGTTCCAACCAGTGTTCCGCTGGGCGAACATGGCGTGCTTTCCCCAGCCGACGTAGATCTTTGCACCGTCTTTATCCTTCCCATCCTGCTCATCCGGATTGTTGTACTCGATTGTGTTCTGGACCGCGTTCCAATTGTCATGCATGTAACTATCATATCCCCTGTTAGAATGTTTTCCTGTAGTAAGGACTGGAGCCTAATTGGGAGCACGGGGGGTTACCCGGTATGGAAACTCTTGAGGAGCTCCTTTCGGGACCATTGGCCGTTCTCACGGCGCCAGATCACGATGATGCGTTCCCAGTCATGCACTATGTTTGAGCAGTTCAGAACAAATTACTCGACCAAAAGGAGGAGGGGGAGCAGCGGGGGGGGGGGGGGGGGCATACTATGTCCCTTAGCAATGACTCCGTTACTGAACCCGTCGTGTGAGAAGTATATGTTGTATGTGACCTGTCCTCAAGGATTAACCACCCACTCCACAATCACAATCCCATCCCGAAGAGGACCAAACCCACCCTCAGTTCATCCCCACCGCAAAACCCGACAGTAAAGTATGTGGGGAAAGCGGTTCCCGTCCCACCTCCCGGGCCCGGATCCGGACACCCAGTCCCCGCGTGTGGGAAGGTGTCGGGGTTCGTCCCATGCTGCTTGCCGTCGATCAAGGCGGCCGAGGGATAGCACGGGTTGTTTCCTCCAGACCTGCCAAAGTGCCACAAGCTGGAGGTATTCCCGTTAATACGCATGTCCATATCTGATGAGAGTGGGAGAGGGGGGGGGATGGCTCACGGTCGACTGGCGAAGGCGACCTCGTAACCACCGTTGTTGGAAACGTCGTTCTGCACGAAGGCGTCTTCCAGGGGGTTATTTGCGAGGGCCCTCGGAAGGAGCGCCAGGCCGATTGCTGCCAATGCTGTGATTCTCATTTTTCGTTGGTGGTATATTTGTATGGGTATCTTTTGATTTGCTTGCTTGCTCGAATTCCGTTGACTGATTGATACTCCAACTGGAACTGGCGAGACATCATCTTTATATACCTGCTCCCCTCTACTTACCTTCTTCCCTACATCTTTCTTTTTTCCTCACCTTCTTCTGCTCCGTGAGGATGATCTGCTGCATTGGCACTGCATTGATGGAGCAATTTCCAAATCGGAGGTATCTCTCCTCGCCTGCGTAAGGGCCGAAGTCAGCGAGCGCTTTGTTCACGTCAGGTTTCCAGTCCCCCGGTCATTTGGCAAGGGCCCCCACCCGTTAACTCAGCCACCCTGCAGAAAATTGGTAGGCTAGCTGGTGCCCAATGAAGTAGCGGAAGCTACCGGTCTTGGCCAAGAGATGTCTTCCTATTCTCACGTGTGCATGGGCGCCTACCGTTCTCGCCGAACGGGGTAAATTTAGGCCAGTCCTCCTAAAATTTCAGTACCAGTTTCTCCTGGAGAGAACAGTGTATGGCGGTGCGGGACAAGACCGTCATTATCATTGTTGTTATTATTACTTCTGCATATTGTTTAGTTGGAGCAAATTCGGGTGGATTCACGACCGTTCAGTCTTACTGTGGCAGAGAGTGGATGAGTGATTCGTTATGATAACCCTGTAGTCTATGTTAGATCCCCTATGGCCGGTCCTTGAGCCCATTAACGCATCGCGAGCGGATATTATAATCACTGGTTTTTCCTACCGGAGATACTTGGTGATATCCTAGTTCGGACCAATACAGGGGATACAAGTGTCTCGATGCACGGTACACAAGACCACTTTTAATTTTATGCACTAATGATTCCAGCGACATACCTCCGGCACTCGATCGGTTCCCCATACTAGGATAGCCACGAGATCCGCCGATTTAGAACGAGTAGGATAATGCTCCGTACCTTGCAGGACTCCACAGTACTGGTTCAAGATAGCGCACCGACACAGTGAGATCCATAAACGGCCAGGTACAAGTAGCCTATTTTTTCCAAGCTCTCTTAAGCGATATTGTCAGAGTGGCTTAGGGTGGCTTCTCCAGAACTGTACAGTACCGTTTTGTACTAGTACGGCAGTCGCGGTTAGGGCATCGTACTCGTACCGTACCAGCAAGGTACAGCCAACTGGAACATTGTGATAGAGGCGCCATCCCGCTAGATATATGACCAAGCGCCCGTCAAACCATGGACGACAATTATAGGATAGAATGACCCCGCTATGAAGGATCGGGCACCGCAATTCCCCCCGATATCACTTATTGTGAAATACCCCGGCTGCGGTCGAAGACAAGAGTTCCTCCCATTAGAACATGCCCAACCCAGCACCCGCACAAACACTTCAACTCCCGGGCGCCAGGAGCGCGGAGTAATCCAACGGAAGGCCAACTATCACGGGCGAGTATAGATAGCAAGCATAGACAATCTCGCGATCTCATCACCCGAGTGCATTACCGGGTACGAGAGAGAGAGAGAGAGAGAGAGAGAGAACACACGCCGCACGCCCACCCTACCTCCCGTACCCAAAGAAAACGACCA